TGTGTCACACAGATATACACACACATAGATTTTTTGATAGTGTAAAAGTGTGACAAAAATTGTTTTGAAAATTTTCACAATTATTTTGTAACTATTTCACTATTTGTTTATTGTTTTCATATGACAAATAAATGCAATTGTCAACGATGACGATGAGGGTGAGAGAGATAAGATGTGAGAACAAGAATGTTGTAGATGGCGTAAAGAAATTGTGGCAACGGCCATGATGTTGAAATAAATATTGATAATGAAGATCATCATTTAGATAAAAATAAGGGAATTTTCAGACTATATTCCGAAAGAATTTTTTTAATATAATTTTTTGGATTTTCGAAAAAAATATATTAATCTATTTTCATGTAATCAAAAATTCCCAAACACCAAAAAATCTATTACAATTTCTTTTCCTTAAGAAAAATAAAATTTTGTGGTCATATTTGCAAACCCGCTAACCCTTTCGCTGTTCGCGCAGCTTGTTGTCATTCCAATTTTCTAGCAGGTATAAAAACTCATTAACATTTCTGACCCGAAAATTAAAAAAAAATCCTAAGAAATTTTCCAATTTTTATGAATGTCTCCGATCGAGCAAAATTTCCCAGGTAAATTACTCACAACGCAAAACTAAAGGGTTAAGCAGGTAAGCGCAAGAAAATTCTTGTTTTTTTGCACTTATGTGCGAAAAAAATCGCTGCAAAAAAACTTAGTGAAAGAGTTTAAGCCATTTACAACCCACACCATAAATATTTGTTAAGCATTTGCTCTAAAAAAACTGAAACTGAAAAATATTCACTAATTATTGGTCATAAACGCAAATTTCAAGGACGAAGTTTCAATGAAAATAAAAATATTGAAAATTCCAAGAATTAATTTAGAAATGAAAATGCGCATTTTTCTACGTTCTGTCTTGCGTGCCAAACGCGAGTATCACCGCTAAGAAGAATGTACCCTTATGTCGCCGCCAGAAGCCACCAACCACCCTAATATTGCAAAAAAATTATCGTGTTCCTTATCTTTTTGTTTTTGTATTGCAAAAAAAAACACAAGAGAGTAACATTTCCACACATTTAGCTGTGTGTGGAAAATTATCAACGCCTCGGTGTTGTTGATTGACCCCGCATGAACTCTCTCTCTCAATGACCCAAACACTACCCTCATAATTATTTGTAATCTTTTTCTTTTCTATTATTTTTGCCACTAATCTATGAGTATTCAAAAGTCATCCATCCAAAATATCAACTGACCCTCAAAATACGATTTTCTATTTTCTTTGTTTTTCTTTTTCCCCCACCTCCGAATTTTTGCTACTCTTGTTATCAATTTACGCATGTCAATTTAAATATTTATTCTCTGGTTGAAAATAAATTGCAATTGTTGATATTTTGGATTTGCCTGCCTGGAGGTCAAATATTCGACAATGTAAAGACCAGGGGTCACTCAACTTTGGTGGTGTGGTAGAATTTGTCTCTTGACATTTCTCTCAGTCTCTTAATTTTTCTGTAATGATAAGGGACACGTGCCGAAAATGTGAAAATTATGATGGTCTTTGGAAAATTTGCCACTTAAAATTGATTTTTTTGGGAACGAAGAATTGCTGAGAAGAATATGCGAATAGTTAAATTCCGAAGGAAAATATGTAAGAACTTCGAAAGAGATTTTTTATCTATGAACACTCTCTAAAGACAAAATGGAACCAAAAGCTCTTTTATAGACAGAACTTGTCTCAGTGAATTTTGTGAATAGGTATCGTACCTCTCATAAATCTGAAAAATATTCCCCCCCTATATCCTTTAATTGAAAGAGAAAAATATCTATTAACCTTGCAAGGGTTCCATAACCGGAAGATCGCCTATTGGATTGTTATTAATTGAAGACAAACTAAAGACAAAATCATAATTAATTTTTTTTTTTTTTTTTGCAAAAAAGTAAAAGTTCGCCCTAAGATATGTGCATGGACCTTTAAAAAATGTATTCTTTGGTCCTTTTACTGAATTGCTTCGGAAAGGAAACTATATACGATTTCAGGAAAGTTCTTCGTTTGCAAATCTCTCAAAGCAAAATTTAAAGACAAAATATGACTCGTCGTTCTGAATATATTTTATCGAAAATAACCTTTTATTGGACTTCTTAAGATATATTCCAAGGCTCTATATACCTATATTCTATATAGGTCCAGCAGGACAGAACATAATTCAATAGTTGAGTTATCATATATCTCTTAAAAGTCAAAGAAAAGTCTCTCAAAAGAAGAAAGTCCCTAACAAAGAATCAGGCGAATTATATATGGAAACATTATGAAGTTTTGAGCCGATTTAGAGGCAACTTGCCAAACGACATTTTAATATAAAAAAAAGTCAAAAAGTTCGGACGGGGCGATCTTCTTCTTCACTCCAACATAAGGTACCCATTATAATTGGGTAATTCCAGAACGACTTACTTCACTGGAACTGATAACTTGGACTGATACTGATAACGCATGGTAGAGTATAATATTGATTACATAGTGTAGGAATTAGCGAATATTTGGGGTCATCATTATATGAGGGCTATGCCTAATTAATTGCCGATATATGTCAATATCTAACCCAATATTTTAGTTTTCGTTCCTTCAGGAGATATTTTGTTGGGGAGATGCTTAAATGCTGGCCGATATATTTCATTATCGTCATGTTCGAGTTTTTTTTATCATGATATACTTAGAAGGCGGAATGATTAAAACAGATGAATCGTCTTAGAATTCCATACATTTTAGGAAGAAGTTTATAGTAGAATGCGCCTATATGGGGACAACAACAAATCACCTAACTATTTTAATATAAAAGTGGGTTATATGGATACTATTCCAAAAAGGGGCGAATATTAATAATTTTTGGCAGGAAGGTTTGTTACCGAATACAACTACCAACCAGTAAGGAAAGTAGTAAAGTCGGACGGGGCCGACTATATGATACCCTTCACCACTATGGGTATATTCAACAGATGGGATCCTAACGGTCGTCGCATTTTTGAAGGACCATTAACATTAAAATAAACACTTCATTTCGCAACCTATACTAAATTTTGGTCAGATATAGAGTTGCTTCTTACAATGGGAAATTATGTAAATAAATTTAAAGCAAAATATCGAAATCTAAACCGATATCTTCATTTACTTATAAATCCAAATTTCGTGAAAATCGAAGGATATATAGGGACTTTGGTGCACCATTTACATAAAATCGGACGAATATATATATATATATATAAATCTGTACCGATTTTCAGGAAATTTTACACACGTCGTTCTAATTTCGTACAAATCGAAGGATATATAGGGACTTTGGTGCACCATTTACATGAAGTCGGACAAAACTATATATGGGAGCTATATCTAAATCTGGACCGATTTTCTCGAAACTTGGCAGACATCATTCTAGACTCAATTCAGTACGGTATGCCTAATTTAGTGCAAATCGAAGGATATATAGGGACTTTGGTGCACCATTTACATGAAATCGGACGAAACTATATATGGGAGCTAAATCTGGACCGATTTTCTCGAAACATGGCAGACATCACTCTAGGCTCAATTCAATACGTTATGCCAAATTTCGTGCAAATCGAAAGATATATAGCGACTTTGGTGCATCATTTACATGAAATCGGACGAAACTATATATGGGAGCTATATCTAAATCTTGACCGATTTTCACGAAACTTGGCAGACATCATTCTAGACTCAATTCAGTACGTTATGCAAAATTTCGTGCAAATCGAAAGATATATAGCGACTTTGGTGCACCATGTACATGAAATTGGACGAAACTATATATGGGAGCTATATCTAAATCTGGACCGATTTTCTCGAAACTTGGCAGACATCATTCTAGGCTCAATTCAGTCCGTTATGCCAAATTTCGTGCAAATCGAAAGATATATAGCGACTTTGGTGCATCATTTACATGAAATCGGACGAAACTATATATGGGAGCTATATAGAAATATGGACCGATTTTCTCGAAACTTGGCAGACATCTTTCTAGGCTCAATTCAGTACGTTATGCCAAATTTCGTGCAAATCGAAAGATATATAGCGACTTTGGTGTACCATTTACCATGAAATCGGACGAAACTATATATGGGAGCTATATCTAAATCTGGACCGATTTTCTCGAAACTTGACAGACATCATTCTAGACTCAATTCAGTACGTTATGCCTAATTTAGTGCAAATCGAAGGATATATAGGGACTTTGGTGCACCATTTACATGAAATCGGACGAAACTATATATGGGAGCTATATCTAAATCTGGACCGATTTTCATGAAACTTGGCAGACATCATTCTAGACCTAAATGATAAGGCTGTACCAAATTTCGTGCAAATCGAAAGATATATAGGGACCGTTTACATTAAATCGCTAAAATATATATATGGGAGCTATATCTAAATCTGAACCGATTTTTCCCAATTTCAATAGGGTTCGTCCTTGGCCCGAATAAGTGACCTATGCCAAATTTCATCCAATTCGGATCATAAATGCGACCTGTACTTTGTTTACAATTTAACATGGACAGACAGACAGACAGACGGACGGACGGACATGCATAAATCGACTTAGAAAGTGATTCTATGCATATTCTCAAAAGGAACCATGGGTCTATCTCGATTATTTTTGCCTGTTACAAACATATGCACAAAGACATAATACCCTGTACCACAGTGTGGTGAAGGGTATAAAAAAAATACTTCTAACATCCCACCTTTGGGGAATACCATAATTTTTACTATTTTCAACAAAGTTATTTCAAAGAAATCCACTTTAAATTGAAATGCTTTTTCGTTATTTTCTAGTCCTAGACAATGTAATGCTGTTCTCCTAATGACTGTAAAAAAAAATCCATATGGAATATTTCCCAATGCCTCTCGGTGTTTATTTTATTCTAAATATTTGAATATTTCATATTCTAGGAGGTTTATTAGCGTCCTTCTAATTTTTTCTGTAAAATCGGAGACCTTCTATATGTCCACCATACTGTTAACAAATCACTTTCGGGTAAGTCTATAATTCGCTATTTTTTGTCATAATTCTTGCAGAGATCCTCATTAAGGTATATTTTAAGTGAGAGCATTTTTATGTACATTTTATGGTTCGTGAATTTTAAATGAGACTTCAATATTTCAATTTTCGTAATTGTTTGTAAAGAGCCCGTTATAAAATATTTCATAATTTCTCTATGCCCCTCCATTATTTGCCATATTTGCACCAAAAGATCTTATCGAGTTCCTAAGCACCCTTCATACTTTTATTCTGTAAAACCTGAGACAATCTAAAAGTCCACAGCCGATTGTAAATATTTGAATCCTTCCTAATTCATTCCTACTAAGTTATTATTATGAGCCATATTCAAATGGTCCAAAATATCTTGATCTTGAAATTTTTCCTAATAATAGATATTTCGTCCTCTCTCTCTCTAATATTTCTGTCACACTTCTTTCGAATATCATACATATCAGAAATTTACGGCTTCATTATACATCTTTTGAAATGTGAAGGCCTTCCAATAGTCCACTGTCGATTGTAACCCTATTAAGTGGTCTTGTATAATCTCTTTTATTGTTCTAAAGACACAAGCCTCCCTAATGTCCTTATGATTCTAATATCGAATGGAAGTAAATCGTCCCAAAGGACGTTAGATGATGGTTATGAAATCTTCTCTTATTACAGGCAACTCTCTCTCCCTTATTAAATTTTCTATCGCATTTTTTTATTTATTATTTTTTAATTTAGTGGCTTTTCAGAATGACCTTCAGAAATCTACAAAGATCCTTTAAGTGATCTAATACTTCTTTTTGGATAGTCTTTTGCATTTATAGGACATTTAGAAGGGCATATCATATTCAGAGGACATATAAAGAAATCGTTCTACAAGTCGTAGAGAGATTAATACGAAATTTCTTCAGCCTCTATGATTTTCTATATTTTTATAAAACCTCCTTTAAATGAGGGCTTTTTATGTTTCTTCATATTTTTTCGGTAAAAATAGGTCTCCAAAACTCTTTTAGTGTCTTATACATATGGAAATCGTGTTAAGGAGTCTTCAATATAAGCTCGTATATCTGAAGGTCCACAAATTGGACTTTATATGAAATTCTCTACAACGGCTTGTAACACATCCCCACCTCCTTTTATTCTGCTATTATATTTGCACTTTACTGATTTTTTATGCTCCAAAAATTTGCATTACATTTCAAAATAATTTTCAAAATTGCCAAAATATAAATAAATAAATATATATAAAAATGTGACAGTTTGGCAAAACATTTTTTGCAGAACAAATAAATTTTGAGGAATTAAAAAAATATTGGAGAGAAGACTGGATATATGTATGTACATATGTATTTATTTTCAATACTGCGGTGTCAGAATCATTGTCTTAAAGATAAATTTCGTACTGAGATTCCAAACCTTTGCAAATTATAAGAATTTAACCCCTCATGGAGAACCCAAAGGTAAGTCTTGAAATTATTTTGTGTGAAAATGCATCTATAATTTATGCAAATTTATTTAAATTAATTGTGAATGACCCATCCGACCTGGGTCACCACGTCATTTTTAGGGGTGACTTTTGGCCAATAAGGAGAATTTGAATGATTTTTGGCGGCATATGCAAATTTTCTGCTGTGGGGTCATAGTGACTTACCAGACTGAAAGGGTGCAACCCTTCCTTTTGCTTAATTTATTCAAAGATTAAGAAAATTCTTAATTTTGCATTCATATGCAAATTTGCTCCCGAAAATGCCTTTAAGATGTCAAATTGGGAAAAATCAATAAATTTCGATATCAAGGATTTCGGAAAATTTGCATAAATTAATGGCAAAGGATTGATTTTGCTTATGCAAGACAGCTGAAGAGAATGTGAGAGAAATTTTAATTTGCATAAATTTACTTAAAGGATTAAGGTTGGATGCAGAGGATGAAGTATTTAAGAGGTATATACATAGGTGATTCTGAATTTAATTTGTAATACAAAAAGCGGAGGCCTAAGTAAACCCTAAAGAAAAGGGGAAGCATTCTCGGCTCCAATTTAGAGTTTTCCAAAAATGTTTGGAAGATACCAAAATTCTTAGGGGCGATATAAGTGACAAACAAAAATTATACCTCCCGAAAAAATGTATGGTTATGGGATTTCATTCGATTTTTTAAATAAACAATTGACCATCAGCCCCCCTTCCTGGCTAAATTTTATTTTTATGAATTGTAATAATGGGCTGTGGGCCAATTTTTTTCTTACAAAATTGAAAATTACACTTTCAGAAAAATATAGAGTCCATCGATTTTGGAATTTTATTCCATTTTTGTATATAATACAAAATTGACCCGCAGTCTAGCTTCTATGGTAATTTTAATATTATTAATTATATTAATAAAATTTACAAAAAAAAAATAGAATAAAATCTCCAACCGATGGTCTCTAAATTTTTTCGGGAAGTGTAATTTTCAATTTTGCCACTAAATTTTTTTAATAACTCCTCTCTCTCCTGGCTCCCCTCCTACTAAAAGTTAGAATGTTCAGAGCCATGTCTCCATGCCACTAAATTTTTCCATTGAAGTCAGATTTGGAGCCGTAGTTGTGATGTTTGGAAAATATTTTTTTTTTTTTTCAGTTAAACTCCTTTCTATAATTTACAGCCTCTAGGCTATTTTATTGATCTCTTTGGTATTGCCTACTTTTTTCAAAAATAAATAACCTGCAGCCTCCTATCCCAGAATTAATTTAGTTTATTCCTATTGATAATTTTGCCTTTTCTTTTTGTATCAAATTCTTCTAATACGATTTTTATGAATCATCATCAGAAATCAAAAACCTTTTACCTGTGTCTACCATTTAAATTTAACCCCAAAACCAACACCATTGACAAAATATGTTAATTAGGAAATTTAATCCGAGACTAAACAATTAAAAGAAAAAAGGTCAATATTCTCCTTAAAACACAGAGGAAACATTAAACTAAAAAATCTATAGATTTGTCCCTACAATCAAATACTATTTCTATTAAATTCTCGAAAATAAAAAAACAACAAAAAGAATTCTAAAAAATAAACCTTTCTTTTCAAATTAAATTTGATATTAAAAAACTCTTATTATATTAGTTTGTTATCTACTACAATAAGAGTAAAAGAGACAGCTTGCATTGATTTAACCATAAACAGAGAGTTGAAAGAGAAAGAGCAACAGCAAAAGATTATCAACCAATATATCGATGATAGTACAACAACCCCAAACACACATGCATTCACTGACGTTGATTATAACAACAAAGGTGAGCTCACTGCATAACATGTCCGTTACATGAAAAGAGAGTAAAGAAATCATCACTGGCAAAAACAATAACAACAACGTGTACCCGAGTGCGTGTGTGAAAGAAAGAGAGAAAGGGAGATATGGAAACACCACATATGCAATGTGATGCATGCATGACTCTGATTTGCAATTTTGGCAAATCAAAACAAAAATCACACAGAGAGATGAGACCAAATAAAGAGCGAGGGATCTTTCATGTGAGAACTGTTATAAAGGTGATGCATGCATGCACATGTGAAAACAAACGATGTGTGATTGGTTAAGGATAAGAGAGGGATTTCTTAATCATTAGAAAGAGAGGGAAAATTGTGATATTAGATATTTAATAGGGAAATAATTGAATTTAATTAAAAATTAAATACAAATTAATATTTTAAAGGATTTAATAGGGAAATAGGGATAGGGAAAATATAGACTTTAAAAAAAAATAAAAATTAATATTTAAAGTAGATAAAAAATCAATTTAATTAAAAATAAATAAATATGAAATATCTTAATTAAAAATTTAATTTTTATGAATACCCAGTGTTGTTTGTCCCACAAAAAAAATCCGTTACAATTTTATTTGCCTGCTCATGAAATTAATATTGATCGATTACCAAAAAAATTTGCATAATTTTTCTTAACTGCCGAATTTTATTTCTATTGCCATAAAGGTGACATTACATGCCCTGTTCGATTAGGTGTGTGTGTGTGTCTTAACGTCCTTCTGACCCCTTAATCCTTTCTTGTTTTGCCAAGTTATGCAAATTATATCAGAATTGCAACCCTTTTTGCTTGCGCTTGCGCTCAGCTGTCCAAGATCATTCATTTCACTCAATCTTAGTGTCATTTTTATGCAAATTTTTCTTGAACATTATTTTCTTTGTCGGTTGCTTGTGTGTCGAAAAATTTATTTATTGATTTTTTCCATTTGCCGTCTTAAAGATTTTTCAACTCATTTGCATAAGAATGGCAATTTTTAATAGATTTTATTTTTTCTCCAAGACATTTGCATAAATTAAGTATTGGCATTTCAAGTTACCCTCTTTCTGACGGATTATCCTGCAAAGGGCAAAGAATTTACCCTTAAGGTCAGTTTGAGGTAGTCATGATTTTTTTGAAAAAAATTGTATCATTTGGATTCGTTTTAAAATAAATTTAAATATTTCATACTTTTTAATATTAAGAAAATATTTTTTATTTATCTTAATTTCAATGTTTAACAAAAAATTGACTATCCGTACATTTTGTATTGAAAGAAAAATTATCTGATAGTTATTGGATGAACAGGTTTCAAAGATCAATTCACTGGTCAGTATCAGCCAGGAAAAAATAGGAAAAAGAACAAAGTAAGAAAAATTATTTGAAAAAATTTTGTCCATCACTGTAATTTTTTATAAAAAATATCAATATTTATTTTTATGAATATATTGAAGACTTAAACCTTCATCGTAAAAAAAAATAATTTTAAAAATAATATTCCACAGAAATCGAGACTATAGGTTGACGTAGTATGCCGGATTGTCTGGCCACCCATTTTGGCTATATCTCATAAACTGTGGTTTCACTATTCCAATGAAAATTTTCATGCAGTTCTTCGAACTGTACATCAATTTGTATGCAATATTCCTTCGCCGAAACCGATCATATTTGGACAAATATCAATCGCCTACCGGGTTCATCTTCTGTCTATTTTCTCAATAATGTAACGTATTCTTTCCATACACCTCTTTAAACTGCTCATTAATTGTCGAACCTTTACCTCTTTCTATCCTCCAGGCAATAGTTTTGTCTCCTCAGCTGTCTTTGTTATTCTGCCCTATACCTTATAATCTATACCATAGGATTCGTTGTCCTTATAATCGATCTTATTCAAATTTGCATAATAATGCAAATTTTCTTGACATGTTTTCCTTAACAAAATTTGCATAAATTATTTTAAATCTTTAAAAAATTTGCAACCCCCATATCAAAATATGACTTGAAGGCAGCAATGACAATTCAAAGGTCATTTGCATAAATTATTTTTGGTTTGTTTGCGAAGAAGGCAGATAGGATTTTTGAAATGTTTAGGGAAACAGGTACATAATTAGAAATTTGCAAACACCTGCCAATATCAGTCATGAATATTTTTTTAGGAAGAGGTTATTTGAAAAGGAATATGTTATCCATTTGCCACAATTGGATCCATTGATATTTTTAATTTTTAGAGCTTAATTAATAAGCAAAATTGTTCAAGGAAAAATACTATTTTTTACAAACTTTAAACGTAACATTTTAAGTATAACCCTGTATTTTTAAACTAAGTTTTTAAATACTATTTTTATTCAGATCAAAGAGTGCAGGGGTTAAGCTTAAGCCTACATATATATTCTCAATAAATACCTTAACCCTTTCAGTCTTCTAGGCAATAGTTTTGTCTGCTCAGCTGTCTTGGCAAATTTACCCCTTACCTTATAATCGATTCCCAAGGGTTTTATGTTCTTCAAATCGATTTGAAGTAAATTTGCATAAGAATACACAAAATTTTCTTGACATGTTTTCCCTGTGGAAATTTGCATAAATTAAAAATTGGCAACCCCTTCTGCAAGACAATGATGAAAATTCAATGGTCAGCTGTTCCCGAAATTGGGGTTAAATATAAAATTTGCATAATTATTGTTGTGGTTTTAGAAATGTGGATTTCCAAGGTGTTAGGAGAACAGGTATGTTCTCCACATTTAATCACCTGTTGTTATCGAAGTCAGGAAAAAATTAATATATAATCATCAAAATTTAAATTATAGAAATGGTGCACATAAAGGCCAACATTTCGTTGCCTCGTTTACCCTGAACCACAACAATTTAAGCATATCGTCCAGAGTTGGGTCTTTCTGGAATGAACCAGTTCAAATGAGATATTCCGCAAAAGGAACGACTGGTACCAGTTCTGGTTCTTTCATTCATATAGTTCAACCTTGTTCCTTTTGATTCAATCGTTCATCTAGATCTTCTCGTTCATTGAACGAATTAACTGAGTGTACAACTGAACGATTGAACTAAAATGAACTATGGAACTAAATAAATCCTTTTGAGGAGCGAACCAAAAGACATCTAACCACTTTATGAACGATATTGCCCAACTCGAATATCATCTACAACAATTCCGGTTGGTCATTTTACACTTTAATGAGATTATTTTATTCATTCGTTCATCTTCAGGATTCATCTGACATACCCCGCAATGCAGCAATAAGTTTCTCGTCACAATTTAAACATTTCTGTAGCTTCTTTCTATGTAATCTTGAAATTAATCCCGACTCGACAAATTTTATGAGAACATTTACAGTTTTTTGAGAAATCGTTCATCTTTAGGATCCATCCGATGTCGGTTTAATTTTTGTACTGGAATTTTATATCACTAATTTTGAAAACTCTTCATATGAAATTTTGCCGCAGAATATATTTTGACCAGTGGCGGGTTGGTCATTTGAAATGTATGGTCCTTTTGAACTTCATCACTGGCTTGAGACAGAACATTTTCTCCATAAGCCGAGTTTAAAAATATATCCAGGCGCGTCGGTCTTGTGTACAACTCTTCCAATTTGAAAGACCACGTTCCGAGATGTTGTCTTCCACTTGATCTTTTCATCGAATGATCGTGGCCTTCCCCTTTTGTGTGATCCATCAGTTGCATTTTAAGCTGGGGCATCCTCATCCATTCTCACAGCATGACTTGGTTCATTCGACACCGATATTCACCGTCGACGCAGATCACCGTCCCGTAGATCTTTCGGAGAATCTTTCTCTCATCTGCTTGCGCAAATAGCCATGCTTTAGATTCATACACCAGGACGGGTAGGAGCGTCTTGTGAGTTTGGTCTGGCGAGAGGTGGCTTTTGCGTTTGAGTTGCTTACTCAGATCAGATAGTAGCATCTGTTGGCCAACACTCTTCTCCTACGGATTTCAAAGCTGATGTTATTAGTTTTATTTATGGCGGTACGGAGGTATATAAAATCATTCACTACCTCGAAGCTGTAGTTTTCAAGTTCCACAGTTGGTCCGAGTCTACTGGACGTCTTGGGCGTTGATACCATCAGCTTGGTCTTTTCGGCATTTACTGCCAGTCACACCTTGGCAGTCTCCTTCTCAATTCGTTCAAAGGTGTCGATGTCGTCGGCATAGACGAGTAACATATGCTGTTTGGTGTACAGAGTGCCATTTCTGTTCAGCTTTGCATCTCGTATGACCTTTTCAATCAGGATGTTGAAAAGGTCACACGACAAATTGTCACCTTGTCTGAATCCTCGTTCGGTACTGAAGGGTTCCGAGAGGTCCTTTCCTACTTTAACTGCTGACATAGTACCAGTTAAAGTTATCCTGCAAAGTCATATTAATTTTGCAGGAATTCCAAACGCAGACATACCTTTAAGCACCTCTGAAAGTGATAGGGCTGTCGAATGCCGTTTTATAGTCAACGAATAGATGGAATGTGTCGATGTGTTTTTCGTGGGTTTTTTGCCAGCATCTGGCGTTGAGTGAAAATCTGGTCAATGGTGGATTTGCCAGGCCTGAAGCCGCATAATGTCATTGACCATTGGCTTCAGTCGTTCACATAGCAATTTATATGCCATGGGAAGGAGACTTATTCCTCTGTAATTGGCACATATAGTCTTGTCTCCTTTTTTGTGCACGGGACACAGGATGCTGAGGTTCCAATCATTGGGCATGCATTCCTCTAGCCAAATTGTACAAATGAAGTGGTGCATGCTCCTGTAAAACATTCATATAAATGGGAAACGGCAAAGGACCTACACCACTTCCCTGTGGAAACCTAACATTTTTTGAACCAATATAATTTCTATCGTCATGAATTTCAACATATTTCTTTCTATTTTTTAAATAGCTTGTAAACAATTCAAAATCCTTTCCTTGAATACCATAACATCCCGTTTTTAATTTTTATTATATATGAGCTACTGAGTTAATATACGAGT